AGAATGGTACAAGGTTTCTTTGGACCCACCAGGCTCCAAGCCCTAGATTTGGGCTGGGGGTGAAGTAGACATCTTGTTTAGGCTGTTTTTCTTTATAATATAATTTCCTAGAAGAAGTAGGGAGGGAGAAGCAGTCATACTACTGCACCTCCTACCTAGCTTCAGGGTCCCCAGGGGAGGAGGGAAGCAAAGCCCTACCAGGCTGGGCGCAGGGTGGTTAGCAGTCCTGTTGGGCCAAGAAAAGTCCAGCATCTGGCTGTTGAGCAGGATCCCAGAGGGGGTGATGAGGCCGCTGCCAAAGGGCCGGTTCAGGGAGCTGGAGGCCAAGGTTAGGGCCACGTGAGCCCGGAGCCTGCCCTCACTCCCACCCAACCCCCATCTCCCTCCTGGTGCAGATGATCCCTTGTGCCAGGTTCTGAGTCTGAGCTGGCATACCTGACCATGGCCACAATGAAGTCATCAGGGCCCATGATCAGCACCTGGGCAGCTGTAGGATTCCCATTTAGCTCATAGATGGGCAGGAGCGGAACGGGGGCTGTCTGGGAGTCATTGATTTGGCCCCGGAAGTAGGCAGCCTCCACCTTGCTGAAAAGACAAGGGGTAGGCAATGAACACACAGGAGGATCTCATTACAACTCACCTATACATTTTGTGATGTCTGTTTGTGCAATTATTTGATTAACATCTGCCTTCCCCACTGAACTACTAGGTCTAAGAGAGGAGAAGCTCACTTATTCTCAGCATATATGGAATGAATAGGAAATAATTATCAAATTGAATGAATTTATTTAGGTGTTATTCAGGTTTTCTTCTAGAGTCAATGTTTAATTTATTTCATGTTTAAACCTTTCTATGGAAGTACTTGGAACATAGTGGATGTTCAGGATATATTTGTTTTGAATGAACAGACTGAATTCATTTAACTTAATGCTTGTAGTCCAGAACTAGTTTTATTAAGAGTTTAGTCAGAGGAGGGTTTCCTATACAGGGATCTTTACTTGCTATTAGAATCTTTTTCAAGGCACAGGAGGACTTGGCACATAGTAAAATCTTAATAACTATTTATTGGATAAATTAGTTGAGTTAATATAGTGAGTTTTTTTAATTGAATAAAAGATTCTTTAAATTCTATAGTATTTTACAATATTTTGTGTGTTTTAGAGCTAAATTTGCATTGATCTTGAAAACATGCAATTCTCCAATTTTAAAAATTCAACTGAGGATTTCTTATCTGATAATGGTTAGTTTAGTTATTCTAACTGGTTAGAGAATGACAAGTTACCAAGGATTACTGAAGAAATTCATTCAGTTTTCAGCCACAAAGGCTGGTGGCTACACAGGGAAGAAGGCGCACAGCGCTTTGTTTCAAGTGGTCTTGGGGGGTGGGGGGACAGTACGGAGGCTTGGTTTTTAGGCTTTATCCTTGTGGCCTTGAGCTAGTTATTGTTTTCAGTTCCTGCTGCTTTTGCTTTTTTTATTATTAGCTGTTCATTTAGTCTCATAATTTCCAACTTAATTCATAGAGGGTTGTTTGAGTATCAATACAAATGTGGGTGAACTATATTTTTTGCTTCTGATTTTCCTTTTAGCTATGGACTGTCAATTACAGTAGCAGTTAAACAGTAATCAATCTTACCCCAATTACCAATGGATAACAACAATGATATTTGTTGAGTATTTATTATGTGCCAGACAATGTGCTAAGTTTTGCGTGTATGATCTTGTTTAGTCCTCACCGTGACCTCATGAGGTTGGCACCATTACTGTCAGGCCCCTTGTAGAAACTGAGACTTAGAGTTTAAATGACTTGCCCAAGGCTGCACAGCTAGTGGATGGTGAGGCTGGGATTTGAACTGAGGCAGTCCGACCAGAGCCCACAGTCTTACTACTATGTTATGTTGCCAATGTAGGTACATTTAAATCAAAATCCCCACCACCTCCAGAATTTGCTTGGAGACTCTTTCATCATTATTAGGCTTTCTTTTTCCACTCAAAAGGGGGAACAGATGGGTCCATATAGGGCCTTGCTAGGATCAAAAAAATCTGAGAGCCACATGAAGTAGATGGGGAAACTGAGGCACAAGGAAAAGCAACTAGTGTCATGCTGTGAGTTAGGGTCGAGCTGCAATTGACTTGGGACCTCAGGCCTTACTGCTCCACCAGCTGCTTTTCACCTGATTCTTTCCCCACACCTACCTCTGCAGTGCCCAGTGTCCTGCCCCACAAGACCCACCTGAGCATGTCATCTGTGCTCTCAGTGATGGTAGAATCGTAGGCAGGATCTCCCAGTCTGCTGGCCAGAGCTAATGCGATCTTCAGGGTCTGAAAACAGAGCAGGGGTGTGGAAGAGGCAACCAAGGTCCTCCCAGCACCTACCAGGTTCCTCGTGTATGAGAAAACTTGTAGGCAATTTAGTCCTGCCTTATGGCATTACCCCATCCCCCCACTCTTAGTGTCCTTAGACCCAGAGTAGAGTGGAGGAGTCAGCCTTACCTCTGCCACCCAGTGAAGAGTCTGTTCCCGGGATACCAGGCTGGTGAGATTGAAGCCCTCGAGGATGTTGAGAGCACTGATGAGGGCAGGGCCTGTGTGTGGGGGTCGGGGACTGAGAACCAGGTGGCCTGAAAGGACAGGAAATGACCGATGGCAGAAGAAGGGTCAAGACATCTCCACATCCCACCACCACACTGACTGAGACCACTGCACTGAACCTCCTCATCAGACAGGGAAACTGCATTGAGAGGCAGAGGGACCCACCCAAATTCACATGGCGAGTCAACGGCAGGGTCAAAATTCCAACCCAGAACAGTTGTCTTTAGTTACCTCTTCCATACGAGGAAACTAAGGCTTAAGGAAACTGTGATTTGCCCAAAGTCACACTGCAGTCCATTGGCAGAGAAGGACAGATGTCCAGATGTTCAGATTCCTGGTCTACCATGTGTCTCATTTCAGCTCCTCCCTCGGGCCAGCGTACTATTTAGGGTCCCTGATGGCCCCACCCCTGAAGCTTCTTGGGAACAACAAACTTCTCTTCCTATCTGAGGTACCTGTTATTAGATGTTTGGACATCAAAGGAATAATAATAATACCTGACATAATACTAATATAAACTAATTAACTAATTTAATCCTCATAATGGATGCTGTTATCATCCCCATTTGACAGGTGAGGAAACTGAGGCACAAAGAGGCAGCTTGTCCAAGGTTACAGGAGATCAGGGGAACCCAGAGTTTTCAAGATACTGGCATTGCCAAGAGAACTCAGGCTGGGGAGGGCAAATGGAAATCAAACTCTACACATTCAGTACCCATTCTCATCATGGTAACTTCCAACATCGTCTCTTCAAATCCCCATGGGCACTCTGAGAGGAAGGCATTATTATTATCTCCATTTTAAGGAGGGAAAAGAAACAAGGCTCAGAATGGAAAGTGGCTTGTTCAAGGTGAATGGCACAGCTGGTACTCAAACCCACGTCTTCCTGGCTCCTAAGCATTGCTCGTCCTCTGCTACTACCACCTCTGGCAGAGGAATTAGGCTTGGAGATTGAGGTCCAGAAACCTGAACTCAGAGCCAGCCTCTCCTGGAGCTTGAGGTGATCTGGCCTCAAAGGGAGAAAGTTGGAGAGCCTTCTGAGGGATCCAGGAACCCAGCACTTTGGGTTCAGCAAACACAGACCTTATCCCCAACATAAGCTTGGCTTTCTGGGCTCCTCATTGTTTTGAGTTTGGTAGGCTAAGTTTCATTCCTTCCCTGGGCCTCAGTTTCCTTTTTGCACAAAGAGGCAGGTCTATGACTGTCTTAAAGGTTTTGTTCTAACCTGAAGCTAGGATGGGTTTTGATCTTATGGATTCTTCTTAGGAAGTACAGGGCAGTGAGAGTTGGGCTGGGAAGGGGGCTGAGGCAACACAGAACCCAAATCAAGAAAACCTATAGCCAGAACCCCAAATTCCAGGCCTCAGCCTTTGACCAGACCTCTCTCCCCATATCCCAAATATTTGGGGTAACTGACCCCATGACTACTTCAGAAGGTAGGCTGGCTCTGGCTTGCTTCAAGAATGGCTACTTGGGCAGCTCATTGCCTCAGTTTCTCTCCTGTGAAATAGGGAGGAACCTCTAGGCCAAAAGGATGTGGCCGTGGACTGGGAGGCTTCTCCTGAGTGGGGACCCTGGGAGTTGGGGAGAGGTCACCTCTGTACACGCCAGACACGGGGTTCTCCACGAGAGCACTGTAGTTGCTGAAGTCCTCCTCAGTTATGACACCCCCTGCATGCTGAGCCTAGAGGGGAGAGAATGACCCCCCGCCCACCACTGTGAGTCACACACCACACTGTGAGTGTATAGGTTTGGCCTAAGGCACATGTTTGGATCACACACAAATCAGATGTTTATAAGTTTTGTGCCTTCTGCAATTCCCATCATGGCTTTTAGGGACCCCATCAGCCCTGGGTACCCCAGGAAAAAGGAAGGGGGAAAAGCACCTAACAATAAGCACCCATTATGTGCCATACTTGTGCTGAGTACAATCTATGAATGACCTCCTTAGCTTGGCCCTTTGTGATCTGGTCCCTGCCTACCTCTCCCACCTCATGTCTTGCTATTCTCCAATGAGTTCTGTACAGCCACCCAGAGTGACCTGCAGGTCCTGAACTCATGATTCCATGTCTTTGCAGATACTGCCCTCCCAGCTGATGTAGAAGGAAGATTTTCCACTTAGAGCAGCACTTGCCTAGGAGATACCAAAACTGAATTCTGCATTTCACTACAATTAACTAAAGCCACTCTAAAATCATGAACTCTGGATAACTGTGGTAGGAATGACCCTTACTGGACATAACTGAGCACTTTACAGACCAATGAACCAATCTTGTACTAATAGATGGGCTCTTTCTATTTAGCATGCTAATTTTCAATCTTAAATTAACATAGCCACTAGGAATTCTCTTTTTAAAGCACATTTTAGTACTTGAAACCTCTGACTTCTAATCTATGCTCAGTGAACTACATGTTGAATTTCTTGGCTTTGTCTGGAAAGTTAAACACAACTTTGGGTTTTTTTCTCTTAAAGCTCTGATGGTCTTCATTAGAGTTTCTTTCATCCCCTTCTCCACCACCAAGAGAGGGTACACAACCCACATCTGGCTAATCAGAGCATTCTTTTTCTGTGCCACAGTGATTGGTTTGAGAATAGTCATGAGCCCTACAACAGGCTGATGAGAGAGACATAACCTTGAGGCTTTGCTGGAACTACTGGAATGAGAACTACTCTTCCTCTGTGATGGCTTCCTGCAAGGATGGCTGGTGAGAGCAGGTGTGGAAAGGATCTGACAGAGAGTGACTTCAAACAGAGGAAAGTAGAGTTGTGGGGCAGAGAGAGGTCAGACCCTAACAATGTGGATGGAGCTCTTGGGCCCAGCAGATCAAAAGTCAGTACTCTGCCAGTGAGTCCATGTGAGATGGGCATTCATTATCACTTCTATACTTCCAGTGCCCAGCACAGGGTCTGGCCCAGAGAGAGCACTTCATGAATGTAGAGTGAAGTATGGACCTGTTTAATTCCCACAACTGTATGGCAGACACAGGTATAATCACCTCCACTGCATAGATGAGAGAACCACTGAGTTAGTCTATATACCCTTATCTTGAGCATAAATTTCTGTCAGGAGTTTTGGACCATTGCCAACAGTTCTCAGAACCCACTGCTGCCTCAGACTAAGACTCTTCAGGATTGGTTGGTAAGACCTTTTGTCAATCCTCCATGGTCCTGATAGTCCAGTATAGGAGATATTTCCCTCAAACCCTAGAAAACCCAAGAGCAGGAGGGGATTGTGGGCTCAGGGAAGCTGAGGCTGATCCTGGGTCTCCAGCAGACCTGGAGGGGCCAGGCCACAGTCAGGTTGGCATCAGCCGTGGGGAGCTCCAAGGTATCTCTCTCAATCGAGACAGAATATTCCCATCACCCTAGGAGGTTCTTTGTGCCTCATCCCAGCCAATCCTCCCAACCCCCAAAACTACTGATCTGATTCCTATCACCAGAGGTTAGTTTTGTCTATTCCAGAATGTCAAGTAAATGGAATCCCCAATAAATATATGTAAAAAGACAGGGAAGTAAGGGGGAAGAGGACATCCCTGTAATAGGGCTGGGGCAGGTAGGTGGGGGTGCTCCACTCGCTCACCTCGGCCACCATCTCCAGTGTGAGGTTGCCACCGGCATAGAAGGCAGCGGGGCCAGAGGTGCCCAGCACATCCAGCACTGCGGCCAGGTCAGGCCGTCGCAGCAGTGAGCCAGGGAGTGGTGGGTGGCCTGAAGGCAGGAATGTCTCACGGAAGCGCTCGGACGCATTGGGTGGCGGCTGTTCGGCCAGGGCTTGGGCTGCGGGCAGCAGGGACGCGAGGCTGGGCTGGGCGGACTGGACCCGATGGCCGAGACACGCAACAGGTTGGGTAAATGAGGGCTGAGTGGCCAGCCCTAAGTGTTCCAGCCCCCCCAGGAGCCTGTTGGGGTGTTGTGGAGGAGGTTGGGGTGTATATGGGCCTTTCCCAGATCCCCTCACTTGAGGATGCCTCCTCGTGAAGGTAGAGTGTTGGAAGAGGGGGATCTGAGGAGCAAACTGGAAGAGAGGTGCTTTCTGGCTTAGGCCCCAAGTCTCAAGAGGTTCCCTCTCCCCTCTCCATCAACCTCATGCCTTTCCCTCCACCCCCCAGGCCCCACTGACCTAGATCATGGGTCACGTTGAAGCCATCTTGGGCCACAGCTGCTGCGAAGGCCAGGACTTGGGACCATGGCAGCCTGGGGGAGCCGGAGAGCAGGGGGTGGAGGATGTCCTGGGAGGGGGGAGGAAGAGGGGTCCTGGGGGGGGATGGGGTTCCTGGGAAGGAGAGTCCTGGCAAGGGAAGGGGATATCAGGAGGGGGAGTTGGGAAGGGAAGAATCCAGGAAGGTAGGAGAAGGCCACTCAAGGAGAGGTGCAGGCAGGGGCCCCTGGTCCCCAGGGGGAGAATCTTTACCTGCCATAGAGCTGATGAGCTTCATGTAGCCCCTTCACCATTCCGGGGACCCCCACCAAGAGCCCAGGCTGGGCAAGGCGGGCAGGTGAGGGAGAGAGGAGACGAGGTCACTGGAAGGAGGGGGCTGGGCTGAACTCCGCAGAGCCCCAAGCCAGGGATGGGGGCTGGCACAGGGGAGAGACACAGGCCAAGTATCCCAGAGGAGGGACAAGCTGTCCCCAGCAGGCTTCCCTCCCATCTCCCTGACTTCCTATTTGCAAATACAGAAAGGCCTCCTTTATCTATCATAGTTGAGGGATTTATTAATTAGGCAAACCCTTTTAAGAGCCAAGACATTACCAATTTAGATGGAAACCTGTCTATATTGGATTATACCTACTCCTGCCTTTTAAAATAGTGGTCAAGGGACCTTCATTTAACATTTGCATTATCACACCACCATTACTCTGAACTGTTGATAACTCAGGGGTGTGTTTGGCATTTGCCACTGCACTAAATATCTATTTTTCCAAGTTATTTTATTTCCTTCTTTGTAGACAGGGGGTTTGCCTCTAGCAGTTCCTGTATCATCTTCCAATACCTCAGGGGGCTGGAAAGTTACCATTAACAGACTCAGAGTGAGATGTGTGAGTTATAGTGTGGCAACTTTGTGACATCTCAGATGGCTCAGTGGCCTTCTTCCTTCCTTCTTATGTGCCAGATAGACAAGATGACCAGAGAAGTACAGTGTTGCTCTACTGCCTGTTATCAACCATCCAGATTTTTTGTTCATTATTTTATTTTGGGAGCTGCCTATCTCCCTTATAGCCTAAGAGCACCTGCTTAACTCTTTTCCTCACCTCTACAGTAAATACTTAGCAAAGTAATGCTGGGGTTAGCAGAAGGGCAGTGAAGGGAAACACCCCATCCCTCCCTCTCTTCTCACTAGGGTCCCCACCTTGGTCTCCCAGGATCTCTGTAGGGCCTCTTCCCTGAGGGCCCCTGGTGCAGACTCCCGGAAATCAATCAGGTGGCTCTCATTTCGTCGGATGTCATGTACCAGCATTACACCCCCACTGGGAGAGACACAGAACAGGGAGGGTGATAAGTTGCCACCCTTCTGAACAATTAATCTGCCATCCCTCAGCACCTCCTCACCCCCACCCCATGGTGATGGCTATAGGCTCAGCTTGTCATCAGGAGTCAGGTGTCTGAGCCCCTTCCCCAGCAGAGAGAGACTCAGCCACCCTACCAGGGTGGGGAGTGAAATCAAGGGGGTTGGGGACTCAGAGTCCATGGACCTCTTCCAGCCTGTCACTGGAGACTTTAATCCCTGATTAGGGAAAACCCAGAGACTGGGAGAGCAGGATGTTCTGCTCCCCCTCCGCCTCCACCCACCCCACCACAGATGGACCCCTGCCAGCTTCCTGCACCTGCCTCTGTGGTATGTCCCTGTTCCTTCTCCCAGGACTGAATTATGTAAGGACAGACTGTACACAACCAAAAGTGAATTTCTTTGAAAGGGTTGGAGAATTGGTCTTGTAGGACCCAAGATATGGACTTAGTCATCTTGTCCCTTTTCTGTGGCTTGTTTCCATCTGAGATGGGGGTTATATCTGAGATAATTGGCCTGCAGCCAAGTAACATAATGAAGAAAGCAGGACAGATAAACAAAAGGGAGTGGTAGGAACTACGGCCAAGTGGACAGACAGTACAAGCCCCATCATGGGAAGCAGGTTCTATTCAGCTCCAGATTACTGCAGCCATGTGGGAATGTAGGCCCAATGTTACCAGGTCTCCTGATTGTTTAAGCAATGTTAGAAATCTGGATTTTTATGAACATTCTCAACTTTTGAACATTAGCAAACAAATTTTCAAAAATTTAAGTGTGCAAACCAAATCAGCCTGTGTGCCAGGTGTGGCCAGTTAATAGTCTCAGTTTTAAGACTTCTTATCCTGGGGTATATTTCTGGATCCAGAGCTGTCATCAGATTCACAGGGATTTGTTTTAAGGATTTGTAAACCCTAAAAGTTTAAGTGTTGTGGCCTTAATTAATGATGATCTAAGATTGAGTGTAGGAAGAGAAAATGCAAGGAGTTGGGGCCCAGCTGCTCCTGTGCTCAAACTTGGAGACCCCCACATGAGGCCTACAGACCAAGAGACAGAAGTAGGCCTGAGGCAACTCAGCCTCCACAGATGGGAGCTGCTTACCCGCCCAGGCCAGAACTGTGTGGAGCCACGATCCCCAAACACAGGGCTGCTGCTACAGCCGCATCCACGGAAGATCCCTGTTTACCAAGCACCTCGATGCCCAACGATGTGCAACGGGCAGCATCAGTCACAACAGCGCCCTGGTGAAAAATCTGAAAGGGAGAGGGGACTAGGTGGGGGCAGTAGGAGCCCCCTGCTCTCCCTAAGGGACCTCCGCTAACCCCAGAACCTCCACAGAGGGTAGGGATGGGAGCTCTGCCCTTTTGTCCCTTTGACTCTCCCCTATGACTCTTCCCTCCTTACCTCAAGGGCCTCCTACCCAATCAGTTGAGCTATGTCCCCTTCATGCCCGGGAGCCCCTCCCTTGGAACCTTCCTCTCCCAGGTCACCGCCCTCTCCTTTTTCCATTCGCTGGCTTCCTTCCACCACTCAGCCATCCCTCAGTTCCCACGGTCTCCTCAAGCACTTCCTCACCCCTCCTCCGCACGTTCTCTCCTTCTACCCCACTGCCTCCACTCACCTGGGGGTCCCCGAAGTAGATCTGCATGATGAGCGCCACAGTGACACCCGTGGCAAAGGTGAGGCAGGCCGTGACGATGACCGTGAGCCCATCCTGGCGGCAGGAGCACTCGGACGCTGCGGCGGAGAACGGGTCTTTGCGCGTCTCCCGCAGAGGCGACCCATCCTGGCTGCCCATCTCCGACGACGACGATGGCAGCCGCTGCAGCCGGGCTGACTTGAGGAAGGAGTCCGGGTCTGCGGGAGGCCAGGGGTCGGTCTGGGCGCCTCTTACCTGGCCCTGCCCGCCCTGTAGGCGGGGCTATTTTGCGTCTCCCACCCTCCTCTCCGCCCCTGTCAAACAAACTCCACTGGACAGCACTGGTCTCCTTTCGGTGTCCCCCTGAAGCACTCCAGGGTGGGCGAGGGCGGCGGTCCCAGCTTGGAAGAGACAGGGACCCTCAAATGGGCAGCAGGGCAGCTGAATTCCCACTCCCAAGCCAAATTTCCCAGACGCAGGACCCAGGGCTGAGAACACTTCCTGGAGGGGGGGGGGTTTGGGCCCTCCCTGGAAACCAGATCCTACCCCAACTGCGGCCCAGCACCTATGCAAGGAGGCAGCTCCATAAACTGAGTGGACAGACCGTGGCTTCCAACCTTGCTTCCTATCCATCTATCCATCCATCTATTCATTCAATACAGAGGGTCTGCTATGTATCTGGCCCTAAACTACTAGATGCTAGGAGAAAGGAACAGACAGTTCCTGCCCTCATGGCGTTCGCAGACCAGTGAAGGAAGAAGATAATAAACAAGTAAACAAAGGAGTAGATCATTACAAGTTGTGGCAGGTGCTATGAAGAAAAAGGATTAAATGGTAGAGAATACTAGTGTATGTTGGAAGCATTTAGCTGGGGAAATCAGGCAGGGACTCTCAGCAGAGGTGAGAACGAAGGGATGAGAAGGAGTCAGCCATATGTAGAGCAAGGAGTGGGTGGAGTAGAGTGTTTTAGAAAGAAGGAATAGCAGGTGCAAAGGCCCTACAGTAGGAATGAGTTTGGTGCACTAGAAAAAAATAACCAACATCTGGTGGCTCTGGTATGGTGAACAAGAGGAAAGAGTAGTGTAGTGGAGGCAAGCCCAGAGGCACTGGGCCTTGTGGGAGGCAAGAAGCTTGGCTTTTACCCTTAGAGCCAAAGGAGATCACTGGGAAGTTTTAAGCAAGAACATGAAACCATCTGCTTTGTGTTTTAAAAAGATCACTCTGGCTGCTATCTGGAAAATGGACCCGAGGATAATAAAAGTAGAGGTGGGGAGACCTGAAAGCTCCTACTTGCTGGGTGACTATGGACAAGTCATTTCAAGTCAGGAGCCTCACTTTCCTCATCCTAATAATGGAGCTGATCCCTAACTAGCCAGATGGTACAAGGATTCCGTGAGGCAATGTATACCAGGCACTCTGTAGGTGCTCACTGAAAGTTATTTCCATTTCTTTTCCACCTTGGCCAGGGCAGAGATGTTCTTCCACCCCACAGTTTCCCTGCTCTGGGTTATATTAACCTTGAACCCAGGTCTCTAAATGGCCTAAAAAGCCTGGGTGTTTGTGAACAGTAAAGAAATATCCTGGTACCTTTCCCTTAATTCCTGACTGCACTCACAATATTTTTTTAAAAGTTCATCTGATATATGTTTTTTAAATACTTGCCACTATGGACTTGGAGTACAACCCCTTTGTATCTGTGGGATAATATTAAAAATTGACTTATATTTTCCAGTTTAAAATACTATCATGGTGTAAAATGATTATAAATCAATAAAAAAATGTAAAAAAAAATACTATCATGGTTCATCGATGCCAAAATGATAAAAATCCAAGCTCCTTGACCTGGTGTTCAAGGTCCTCCATAACCCATACTCTTCTCTTTTGTATAAATAAGAAACCACATACATATATAGATAATTTTTAGAAATCATTTATGGTAGTTACTTTTGGGGAAAGATGCTGAAGATGGAAATGAGATGGAGTGGTATAATTTTTTGTTTGAAATTTTTACTACTTATATTTCTTTTGTTTTTTTTAAAAAAACAATACATATATTTTTAAATAAATAGAATTAAATGCAGAAGATAAGAGTGGAGAAGAGGACTTTTACTTTTTCTTACCGTTCTTTTTTTTTCTCCGTGAACATGTAATTTGTTTTTAAATTTTTATTCAGAAAAAAAGAAACTTGTCTTCTGGAAGCCTCCTTCAGTTGATCATGCTTGCTTCTAACCCTCAGCACCAGCACCACAGAGTCTAAGTAAAACGAATTCATCCACAAAACAGATGTTAAATTCCTGCTGTGAACACAGAACTCTCCTTGTCTCCTAGAGGCTTCAAATGAATTGCAGGAAAGGGTTTTGTACTTATATTTATTGATGCTAACTATATACCAGGCACCTTACATACATTCCCTCATGGAAGTGTTCCCATAATTTCATGAGATAGGCCCGCTCTCTCCATTTTACAGATGAGGAAACTGGAGCTAAGGTTATATAGCCTGCTTAGGGTCATAAATTAATAAATGGCAGAACCAAGAGTCTGTATAACTTGAAAACCTCCTTCCCATTGCTCCACATGGCATTAGGAGCCATTTCCACACTGAAAAAATGAACTTTATAAATTAGTTCTACTTGATATTTCCAAGCACTTGTCCTTAAATCTTTTATTTTCCAATCAGATATGAGGAGCCAGGAGGTGAAGGTGATATGGCCCCATCAGAGTCAGATATATTCAAGACTTCTTATTCTACCAATCACTTGTTATAAATATATATTATATGTGAATATATAATATAAACATAAATGAATATCAAGTTATTGATTTATTCAATAAAAATATTTACTGAGTACTTACTGTGTAAGCAGTGGGGAAATAACACTATTGATTTTACTGATGTGTAAGGACAACAGCAGGACACTGAGAAAAGACTAGTTTGGGACTAGAAGGAACAAGTCTTTTGAGGTGACAAAGATGAGTTTAATTTTGGCTATTCTGAAGTTATGGGACAACAGCAAGAGTTGTCTGAAGGCAGCTGGCCTAGTAGGCATCTAATTTTTATCTGCTTAAACACTATTCCCCACTCAATTTTTTTTTTTTAGAGAACACTATATCCCCTCTCTCATTCTTTATTCCCTCATTTCTGACCAGAGTGACTATATGACCTAGCAAAGCCAATCAGAACAGGCATCTTTGTACAGTTCATGTTCCGGTTCATGTGACCGGCATCAGCACCAAAGATACTCAGACTTGGGTTTTTTTGCTAAAACTATTGAGAACAAAAAGGATTTTCTGTCTAATTTGCTGAGGTGGTAAGATATAAGCCTGTTGCTGCTGGGGGCATCTTGACCCCACAAGATGGAAGGCTTTCTGAAGATGAAGTCCATAAAAAAGGAAGGCAAAGCAAAAGATGAAGAAAAGCCAGTTCCTTTTCAGACCCCTCGATGCAGCTATGCCTGAAGCCCTATACTCCTGAACTTTTCAGTTATGTTACCTGCTAAAATGTTCTTTTTAGATGTAGTTCAGTTTTAGCTGAGTTCATGACAAAAGAACTCTGCACAGAGTTGATCTGGCAAGTCTAGAACTCAGGAAAGACATCTTGGCTGGAGACTGGGATCATACCTGGCTTGCTTACTCCCTTGAGGGGAGGATCAATAAGATTTTTGAAACAGTGAGAGACATGATCAGAAATACAGGGTGGTGTATGGATTGGGGTTGGGGAGAGGCAGAAGGCAGGAAGAGTAGTTAGAAGCCTATAGGTAATACAGGTAAGAGAGGATGGTGGCTTAGTGTACAGTGGTGATGACAGGGATGGTGAGATGGAACTTGGAACATATTTAGGAGGGGGACAAAGAGCATCTGATCACTATGTGGAAGTTAGAGGAAGGGGGAGAAACATGGGTGGCTCCTGGGCTTCTACCTTGGGGACCAGATGAATGGCAGTGTCATTAATTGAGAATGACATTGGGGGAAGAACAGGTGTATGGGGAAGAGATGATGGGTAAAGCATACAACGCGCTGAAGATGAAGCATTTGCAGGACATCTAGAGGCAGATGCTGGGAGAGAGAGAGGCACACAGGGGCCTGGAGCTCAGAAGAAAGGAATGTATTTCCCCAGTCTTGAAGTGGTCACCATCTAGCTCTGTTTTCCACAGGGCCTGCTGTGGGGTGCCTGGCACTCAGTTCTGGGGAGTGGCAGGCTAGAAGCTAGCTGGGCACAACCAGAGTCCTGCATAAGAGGATGGGGCAGTGCTACCAGGTTGAGAACATAGGCAGTCATGTTAGCCAGCAGGCTGGTCCAGCTGGGCCAAAGGAGCCCGGGGGCTTGGAAGTAGTTCTGGGAGACATGGCATTGAAATGACTACACAGGTAAGATGGTGAGGTCCTTAGAACCTTAGTGCACAGCGTTGGCATAAGGTACAGGTTCCCAGAAACTCAGGTGACCAGGGTCTCTGCTGGATTTTTGTACAGTTGAGGACAGAGCCTGTATTACCTCTCCAAGGTACTCCCTGAGGTCTGAGAACTCCCTCCCCTGCCATTCTTCCATTCTGAGATCTTCTCTTTCATTCATTTATGTATTCAGTAGTTTTTATTGAGAGTTTAGCACTGTGCTGGATGGTGCAGAAAGGATGGTGAACAAGACAATCATGATCCCATCCTCATAGGGCTTACAGACATGGAATAATCAGAGGTCACACAAATAAATAATCACAGGTTTTGATAAATGCTGACATTCGTAGGAAGCAAAGAGAAAACATAACACGTTTCCTACCTCTAGTTTGGGGAGAGAGGCATTCCCAGTTGAGCTGGAAGAGGAAACTAAGGCCCAGGTAAGGGTAGGTATGCCCATTGTCACACAGTGAGTCAGGGCAGTGCTGGGACCAGAAGTGGCACTCCTGACCCCTGACTAAAGGACCTGGTTTCAGGCTGATATCCACCAGGACACACCCTTCCACTTCTCTCCCTGCTACGATCTGATTTCAGAGCTACTCTTTCTAGAAAAGCAGTTTTAATCTGCGGCTTTGACATTTGATGTCCATAAGCCTTCCCTCAAGCCCCCTCCAGGCAGGGTGCAGTCTAGTCAGGTTGGCAGGGGCTACTGGTCAGGACCAGATGATGGGAAAGTTGTGGAAGGGGAAAGAATTTGGGCTAGGAGTAGCTGCACAAGGGCCAGGCTAGAGAGAAGCAGGATCTGCCAGGCTAGTAAGGGATAGGGCTCAAGTGCAGGCACTGAGAGGAAGGGAGAGTGAAGCAGAAGGATGCTTTAATGCCAGGAAGTGACGTTGAGGGAATGAGGGATGGGGGATGGAGGATGAAGAGTGGAGGGGAGGATAGAGTTGAGCCACAAGGATAGGAGAGAGAGCATTAGGGAAGAAATGTTCAGAGAGCTCTTGGCCCCAGGTCTCCCCCAAGAACTATCTCCTCCCTACTCCCACCCCTTGCAGTTCCTGCAGAGGGTTGAGGAAAATACAGTAAAATTCTGGAGCCTGCTTGCTAGGGGGCAGGGTACTTACTAACATCCTGGCCTGATCCATTGCTCTGGGAGGGGTGAGATAATTTACAGGGCAGTGAATGTGCTCTGGTCCACAAGGACTTTGAAAGGTCATGCAGTCCATCCCCCTGTCTCCCAATACCCACTACTCACAGATGGGAATCGTATTCTTTCTACCCATCCCTGGACATGAAGAGATTCTCAGCTTCTTTTCATGGTCTCTCCTTCCCACAATCCCTGGCTGTGGGGAAGTTCCTTTCGAGACCTAACCTCTATCCATCCTGCTGCAGTATCTGACTTGGTTTCTCCTATCCTGTTTTCTAGATAGATAAAGTCCTTTTCTGGGATCACAGCTGTTTCTCCCCTGCAACATTCCTTCCTTATTAGCTGGTTCTTCCCAAGGGGTAACCCCAATCCCTCCTACTGCAGTCTCCGACATCATTCTCCCTTGTCGCATCCTAAACCTCCAAGGCAGAAATGCATCCCTAACCTCACCAGATAATTAACAGAGACAAGGGAGAAGGGAGCGGTCCAGGAAGAAGGAAAAGAATTAGGGAGATGGAGCTGGAGGTGATGCTCCGCGCAGATGGAGGACTGGGGACGTCCCAGGGGCAGGAACCCGGCCAGCGGGCCTCACCAGTATCGGGGTCTCCCAGGAAGGCGTCCTCGTCCTTGCGGCCCCTCAGAGGGACCGCGGGCGTCGGCTCGTCCTCCGGCAGCCTCGGGAAGCTGGTGATGCTCATGTAGTCCACCGGCGAGTAGGCGCCCAGGGCGCTCTCCTGACCGGCCTCGTTCTCCGCCGCCATCCTCGCCCGCGCCCCCCAGCAGCGCAGCGCCTGCCGGAAGTGGTGCGGCGAGGACCGGGGTAGGGGGGGGGGTGCAGAGGGGGGAGGGCGGGGCCTGAGCTCTTGAACCGCCGGGAGGGGGCGTCTCACTCGGACCCTGGCAGGTGTTGGGATTTGACTTGCCCCCTCCTGCTTAACGCTGTCAGCTTGCATTGAGCGCGCAGGTGTGGATGTGAGTGTGGATGGAGAGCCTGGAGGGCAGGTCCGGGTCGCTCAGTGTGGGGTCCAGAGGGAAGATCCCCAAGGTAAGCGCGATCTTAGTGGCTCAGGGCACCTTACGAAGCCCAGGGACCAAACCCCTTCCTCTTTCCAGTTTGAGCTAGAATTCTTCTGAGACTCCAGGCTCCCTCCTCAGCTCACAGGCCCTTCCACTGACAGCAGACCTCTCCTCGACTCCAGATCCTGTCTCTAATGCCAAATTCTTCGAACCCCAGACCCCTCCTTGGACTCCAAGATCCTTATCCTCCGACCCCAGACCCCTCTTTCAGCTTCAGACTCTGCCTTCACCCCCAGCCCCAGCCCCTGCTTCATCCATAGACTGCTTCATTTAGAGACCCCTCCTTGGACTTCTCTCCTCGTTCGTCAGATCACTCCTTGGACCGCTGACATTTTTAAGACTCCTCTTTCAATCACAATCCCTTCTGGGATCCCTTAACTATCAGCATAGGACAATGAGCCCAAACTTGAGTGTGTGTTAGGATCTTTAAATGCGTATCCTTAGATTCCACTGTAGAGATCATGACTTAGTAGGCTGGAATGGGGTCTCTGGAACCTGAAAATTAACCATCATTTAAAGATTTTTTGATGTGCTTCTGGAAAAGAACACTTTGAGAAAGAAATAATGGCGGTGGTGGTATGACAGAAGTGGGTTGGGGTGGGGGAAGATAAAAAGTGTGGGTAATGAATCTTTTTAGTCTAGGTATTTGTTCTAGGTTCTAATCTAGGTTCTGTTCCCTGTGCTACAGTTTACAAACTGGGCAAAACAATCTCCTCGAGTATCTGTTTCCTCATCTGTAAAATGGAGAGAATAACAGTATCCATCTCTAGGTTATGAGGACTAAATAACATCTGGAAAGTGTTTAATATAGGTTTTGACACTTAATAAATACCATAAGTATTATTATCATTATCATTATCATTATCATT